CGAGTTCAATCCGTCAGATAAGAGATCCCGTGGTAAGTTGGGCTGGCTCAGTGGCCCTTGGAAGCGCCCCCGCGGGCATTCCGTGCACAGTCTTTTGGTTGCTCAGGCGGGCTCGGCTCGCCCTTCTACGACTTGCGACATCCCTCCCTGCTACGCAGATTTCCATGATCCCAGAGATGGCGCCGTGCAAGTCTCGCAAGGGTCGCCGCGGGATCGCCGCGCAGGCGCAAGCCGAACGGGCGAAGAGGGCTCGCGACACTGCCACCTGCCGGCCCGCCTTGGGCCCTCTTTCGGTGCTCGAGAGGAGCGCGGTAAAGCTTGCCACCGAGAGGCAATTCCGCAACCTGCTGGCAGACTTCACCCTGTTCTGCCAGCCGCAGGGGTTGACCTGGAACGACCGCCAGGGCGTGGACGTGGCGCCAGCGGAGTACCGCAATTACCTTTACCTCGGGAGCCGCCCGGGCGCCGACGGCAGCCGCCTGCCGGCAGCTGTCTCGCGCATCTACCCCTCGGTCGGCAAGCAGGTGAAGTTGCAGCTGCCTCGGGCGATCCGCTGTGCACAGGCCTGGGCTCGCCGTGCCCCAGGCCACCAGAGGCTGCCGCTTCCCCGCGCCGCCGCGCGGGCCGTGGCCGGGCTGCTGCCGTGCGAGGGCCGCGTGCGGATGAGCGTTTGGTTATGCCTCGCCTTCACGCGCTACCTGGGGCCGATAGGGCGCTTCCGTGTCCTCGGACGCCACCTCGTCGCCAGCAATCCTGCGGCGGGACCGCAGTTCCAGCATTGGGGCCTGCTACTTGCGGACGCCGTCGCCGGACAGCCAGGCAAGACGGGCAACTGGGACGAGTCCGACTCGCTGGACCTGGACGACTGGTTGGTACCGTCATCGCCGCGCTGAAGCTGGCGACGCCGCCCGACTCGCCCCCGTGGCCGTCTGCCGCCGCGAAGTTGGGGCGGGCGTTCAAGGGGGCTTGCGGCCTCCTCGGCTCGGGCCCCATGGGCCCCCACCTCTACTCGCTTCGCCGCGGAGGGGCCTCCGACGACCTCCTTCGGAAGCGGAAGTCGGTCGAGGCCGTTCAGAGGCGAGGGGGGCGGGCGTGCCCCCAGCCCCTCAAGCGTCACGGAAAGGGGACCAGAGCGCTGACCCAGCTGAACCAGGCACCACAGCACACGCTGATCTTCGGAACCGGCGGAGCGCAACTTCGCCATACTTGTCAAGAAGGGTTGGCCGGCAGCGGGCTGTGGCCCAAGGCCCCGACCGACCTGCAGCGCCTCCCGCGGCCCGCATGCGCGGCCCCCCGCTGAAGGCAAGTCCTAGCGCCATCTCGCTTAAGTCTTTCACCGCGCTGTCGAACGTGGCAAGGACTTTCGCCGTTGTGTGTTTCTTGAGCTTCTATGTGGCAGTAGTGCTCTCACTCGGCAACTTACGAAACGAGGGCGCAGCGCCCTCGGCCTTGACATTGCCCAGCATGCCGCCGATAATCATATGTCTCCTGTGCTGCCGCGTGCGTGGCTCTGGATCCTAGCCAAGGCCGCGTGCTCGGTCTGGCTGGCGACGCCCTGCGCCGCGTTCTCAGCTGCCCGCCGCCCACCTTCCCGTTCTTTCACCTTCCCCTTAAGCCTGCCTGGCCTTTCGGAGAAGGGCAAGGCGTTGGTGCAGACTGGAAACCAGTTGATCGACCTCACGGTTAATACCGTTCGCCTTTGCATTCGGTTGAACTGTCCTGTCGCCATTCAAAACCCACATGCTCCTGTTTCGTGGCAAGTGCCAGCTCTTAAGAAATTGCTCTCGCATGGTTTTTGCATAGAGTAGTACTAGACTATATCCAGCACGATATGCCTTAACGACTTGCGTCTTTGACGTCGCCGCATCACTCAGACCAGTGAACCGATGATGCCAGTCATGATGGCGGTATTGATGACGATGTTTTGTTGACACTTGTGACGGCCATGACGTGTGAGTATGTATTACCATCAGGATGTTACCGAGTACTGGCGATGATGAGGACCAGGGAGTATCAGGATAACCCAACGAAGGCAAGATGTTACAAGAGGCCTCTCCTGGGAAATTCTCGCCGGCGACGGTGGTGATGGCGAAGTTGATGACCACAGTGGTGATGAGGGTGGTGACGGGTGAGACGACCGGCCGTGACGACGTAAACGTTTCGCGTAGTGGTTTCCATCGTGAGGGCGGTGATGATGATGATGGTGTTTGACAATGTGGCCATGACGAGTATGATTACGTACGTAGTAACGTCAACATGATGCAAATTAGTAATGCAGTTACAGAGGATGGGGAAGGCGACGCTGATGATGCGAAGGGGTACTGATGGACAGATGATAGCCCGACCTTGCACATATAGTCGATCGGACTCAGCTCTTGCAGCAACCACCCTAATTACCTGCGCTGGAACCTGAGCGCGCGCGATGGTGAGGATGATGGATGAGACAAATGCTGCGGCGATGCATACACGCAAAGCGTAGCGGGTCCCACTGTGATGACGATGATGATGATGATGATGATGATGATGATGATGATGATGATGATGATGATGATGATGATGATGATGATGATGATGATGATGATGACGTTGACGTTGACGTTTGATGATGATGATTATGTTGATGATGATGATGATGATGATGATGATGATGATGATGATGTTGATGATGATGATGATGATGATGATGTTGACGATGATGATGATCCGGGTGATCATGATGATGAGTGGAGAACAAACAAAGATTATGATTCGAATGAGGGCGATGTTGTTCTCCACATCGGTTCGCCCTGCTGGAGTTCTTATTGATTCTCTTCTAATTGGTCCGTTGCCCCTCCCCCCTTAATTCTTATGCCCCCACCCTAATTCCTGTGGCTATGCTTATGCCTATGCCTATCCCCCTTCTTTTTTCCCAATGCCCCCCCCCATATGCATGCTTGCGTGCTTGCTTGCGCGATTTCTTGCTTGCGCGGTTGCCCGCTTGCGCGCTTGCTTGCACGCTTGCTTGATTGCTGATTTGCGGATTCCAAGCATGCTCGATTTCTCTGATTCCTTGATTTGAGTCGTCTAATCTATTTGGAGTCAACGCTGGCTGATATTGCACATGTTCACGATGATTCCTGTTCGCGACTTTGACGTGCAGCATCACTAGCAACGGCCAAGCATGTTATTAATGATGATGGTGACGAATAAGATCACGAGTATTGACATGACGACGTTGCGCATAATGAGTATATATGAGGATGAGTAGGACGCAGGGAATGATAATGACCATGAGGATGAATGCGACTTTGGCACGTGCTTGTGCATGATAGATCTGTCCAAGCTCTTCCGGTGGGCCCCCTGGACTGCGCTAGAATCATCGTGCGCGCGTAGCGCGCGCGATGGTTCCAGCAGGTATGTGTACATATGTATATAAATATATATACATATATATATGTCATAGTCTAAATCATACCACATGTACCATATATCACATACCAAATGCAATATACAATATGTCATACAGTATGTCTCAATTCACATTTGCCTGGCCCCAGACCCGAGACCCCTCGGCCGAAGACCACCAGGGGCACCTGAACAACACTTAGCTCCCCCTTTCCCCCGGGACCTCACAGGAGCCTCCCCGCAGTTTCCCTGGCCCCTCGGGAGCTTCCGGGTAGGTTTCAAATCGGTCACAGACGGGCCGTGATGGCTTGCGGACGGCCCCAGGTGGCGTGAAGACGGCCTAAGAGGCTACCAAGATGCCCCAAGACGGCTACAAGAGGACCTCCAAGAGGGCCCGAAGAGGCACACATTCTTTATCATTTTTCGGAAAACGCGCGTTTGTAGCTTTTCGGGTTTTTCACAGCGTCCAAGACGGCCCGGGGAGGAGGAGAAGAGGGGGAGGGGGATTGGGAGGAGGAGAATGAGGATGCAGTATGCAGAATGCAGGAGGCAGAAGGATGGAGGAGGGAGGAAGGACGAAGGAGGAGGAGGAGGAGGAGGAGGAGGAGGAGGATGGAGGATCGGGTGCAAAACCGAAATTCATCAACGATGTTGGAACATGCCTTCCCTCCAAGCTCCCTCTTCACAGGCCCCTACAAGGGTTAATTTTCATTGAGGGAAGTGCGCCGTTGGGAGACAACCGTTTGAAGATCTCGAAGCGTACCAAAACACCATTCTCATGGCTTCAACGCCACGAGTCAGCTTGGCTGTTGAATCTTGACGATCCTGGATCGTGCCAGAACACAATTCCTAGGACTTCAGCACCGCGGGTCAACGTAACTGTTGCTCCCTGACAGTCCTAAATCGCTTCAGAAAATGGATTATGGTGTTTATGGTATGTTAACACCGAGAACCACTGAAATTCTTGCAGTTGTTTAATTCGCGTAGGCGAGAGCCGCATTTTGAGTAGGAGCCGCCCACATGCAAGTGTTTAATCGAATGGTCACAGCGCTAAGGCGAGAGCCACATATTGAAAACGAGCCGCCCTCAATCCATGAAACCATCGCGAATTGTTGCAACGAATGCGCGCGGTGCTGAGGCGAGAGCAACATTTGACGACCACTTGTCTTCAATCCGCGAAGCTCCTGCAAATGTTTGAAACGAATGCGCGCGGCGCTGAGGCGAGAGCCACAGTCTGAAAACTACTTGTTCTCAATCCGCGAAGCTCGTGCAAATGTCTGAAACGAATGTGTGCGGCGCTAAGGCGAGAGCCACATTTTGAAAACCACCCTCCCTCCATCTGTGAAGCTGCAGCCAGTGTTAAGCCGCAGGCTCTTCAGTGGTAAGGGCGTTTCAGGCGAAACGCCCAGCCCGCCCTTCGGATTGGCCTCGGGGCGCGACAGGAAGGAGTTAGTCATAAGGAAAAAGAATTGAGGATGGAGGTGGAGGAGGAGGTGGAGGAGGATGGATCAGGGAGCGTAGAAGGGGAGCGGTAGGGGTTGGGGAGGGGAGGGATTCTGAAGACGTGGATGAGGAGGAGGTCGAAAGAGGTCTCTCCGTCTCTCCAGGCGGGGTTCATGGAGATCTTGTTCGTGAAGAAGCTGCAGTGGGTCCAGGGCCCGCTCTGGTGGCGTCGGGAGTTCCTTCCCCTCCCTCCCTCCCTCCCTCCCTCCCTCCCTCCCTGACTCACTCCCATTCCCCGTCCCTTCCCCCTCCCTCCTCTCAGCTTCCCCTCCTCTCCTCTCCTCTCCTATCCCCCCCTCCCTTCCTCCTCCCCTCCCAGGGATGGATTGAGCATCGCACTCCCCATCTCCCTCCCATCTTCTTCTCCCGTCCTTCCCCCTCCCTTCCCCCTCCCTCCCCCCCTGGTCTCCAGAGTCTGCACCTGCCTTCTCCCCCCTCTCCCCTTCCAAAGTGCCACGCCGGCCGGCAGCCACCTTCCCTTCGTCCGTCTTTCTGCCGCGGGCACGCAAGTTTGTGCCTTGGACTATGGGTCACAGAGCGAGTCGAGACGACCCGGGTTTCCCCCTCCTCTCCCTTCTTGTCGTCCACCTCCTCCTCCTGTAGCAACTGTAGAACAGTGTGCAATGCCGAGTGATCGGGCTGGCCGCAATCGTTTGTGCTCAAGCGGTTTTTCGAGGCGGCGGATGGTAGATTTTGGCTGGCCTTTTTCACCATCGAAGGGTCCTAAGGTCGGCGCGGCCGGCGATCTCATCGGCGGGTTCCAGGAGGCCTTGGGAGTGAGCCCGTGCGCTCTCGCCCTCTCGACCTCGGCCAACGCCTGCCTGAGCACACAAGGCATCAGGGCTACCCCGGTGCCTCTCGGGCTGGCCGCGGCGGGCGGCCTGCTCGCCTTCGTGCTGGGGCTGCTGCTGGTCCTGGCGACTCAGGCGATCTGCTGCTCCTGCTACGTGACCTGCCGGTTTTTGCTGGCGGGGGTGGTCGTGCGCCGTCAGCCGGCGCCTCGAGGAGAGCCTGTGCCGGCGGAGACGCTCGCTTTTCCCGCTGTGGCCAACGATGTCGACGGGGCCCTCAAGGCAAAAACTGTTGGGATGCAAGCCCAGGGACGTAGTGTTCGTCAACTACGGCGTCGCGGGGGAGCCGTGGCATGAGCGACTCGTGCTGGCCGTCGTGGAGCACTGCCCCTACATCGTGATGACCCGGGACGGCGACACAGGGTCGTGAGCTAGGGTCTCTTGGGCTTGTATGACGTTGGCCAGGCAGGGGACCCGGCTGTCATGCGTAGGCTGGAGACCAGCGATAGGAAGAACGTGATCGCGGCCATCGCCTTGCAGGTGGGGCACGCGGCTGAGGAGAAGGGGGCCGCTACCCCGAGGGGTCCTGCCGGGGCGGCCGCGAGCTCCGACGACGCCCGCACCCACCCCATCGTGCGGGACCCCAGGGGCAAGCGGTTCAGGGACCTGAAGAACGTGGCGAACGCCTCCGACCAGTCCAGCTTCGACGACTGGATCCTGGACGGCCCGAGGACGACGTTGTACGTGATAAAGGAAATTGCGAAGCTGGCGGGAGGCCGTGTCCAGCGCCATCAGACCTGGAAGCGTGAGAATCAGTTGCAGGAGGATGAGCATTCCGCAGTGACCCACGAGATGCTGTCCGAGATCCTGGAGTTGGCGACCACTTTCGACCACATGGAGTGCCTCTGTCGCCACACGCAATACATCGAACAGCGCGTGAAGAAGAAACGAGAGGCAGGCAAGGATTTCGACTCCCAGGACTACTACCTCGGGCGCTCAAGGCGCACCGGGGGCGCCATCATCAGTCCGGAGCTGCTGAAGTGGGTTGCGGAGTCGGCGACCAGGGACTCGGCCATTCTGAAGGAAGAAAGGAAAGCAGCGGAGGAGCGCGCGCTGGCTCGCGCTCCCTGGGGGCTGGCCGTCCCTGGCCCAAGCACAAGGCCGCTTGGTGGAGAGGATTGTACTGCGGGACCTGTTCCCTTTGCCCGAGGTACCAGTGCCGTCTCCCGCCCATCGCCGAGGTCCTCGCCGAGCTGCCCAGCGTCTGGGTGGGAAGGTGGCCATCGGCTCGCGCTCGAACGACTGCATAGCCGGCCTCAACGACCGGCACGGGGCCGGCTCTTTCTTGCTTGAGCGTCGACCATCTCAGGCGCACTTTTCGGCGATCGACAGCATTTGGCGCGCGGTTGCAGAGGGCAGTCCGCCAGAAAAGTTGCTCGCACCCGAGGCAGCCCTCAAGGAGTTGCTCGGCGCCGAGGTCCTCGACTACTCGTCTGAGGACGTCTGAGGACCTCTCCGTGGTTGCGCCGTATGATCGCGGCATGGTCTCGTGGCCGGACACTGCAGGCGCGGTTGACCTGCTGGGCGTGGGGCCAGACCCTGACCGCCAGGAGGTGATCGACGATCCTCAATCTCTTTCGCTTCGAACTGAGCAGGCGCCCTTGGCAAACTGCGAGGCTTACTGGGATAAGACCCTTCGTGCGGACAACGATGAGTACGTTCGGTGCGTTCAAGACCCTCCGCGCTCATCGTGATTTTGAAGTGGGTGCATTCTTTGCGCGGGAGAAGTCAGGCCGCCTACGCGTGATAGTGGATGCGCGCTGCGAATCAGAGTCTCAACAATCCCACTTATTCCGCTGGCCTCGACCGCGGCGACCGAGGGGCTGGAGGCGGAGCCAGGCGACAGGCTTGAGTTCTCTATCCAGGACATCGCCGACTGCTTCTACCAGATCAGGGTGCCGGGCCACATGGCGCCTTGGTTCGGGATGAAGCCGGTCAGGGCGGGCATGCTGGGCGTGAAGGTCGCGCGGGGCAAGCCCGTCTCGGCGGGCACCTGGCTTTACCCAGGCCTGCGCGTTCTGCCCATGGGGTTCTCGTGGGCCACGAGGTGGACACAGCGGGCCCATCGGGGGCTGCTCTGGTGAGCCGGGCTGGGGGGCATCGACAGCGAGCTGGTGGGCCGCCAGCTGGCGCCGGCCCCCTCGGCGACGCCGGTGCCGCGCGTCGTCTACGTGGACAATGGGATCTCCGTGTCGTCGCTGCCCGGGGCCTCGCCCAAGGCCCGCGTCTAGGCCGCCAAGACGATGGCGGCCGTGGGCCCGCCGTTGCATGAGGTTGAAGATAGCGAGAACGTCGTGGAGGCATTGGGCCTGGAGCTGGGCGGCATCAAGTTTCGGGGCCGCCTGGCGCCCTCCAAGCGGCGGGGGCTGGTCCAGGGCGCGCGGGGCTTGCTCAGGCGCCGGATGGTGGCGGGCAGGGAGGTGGAGAAGCTGATTGTCCACTACACCCGCGCCATGCTGCTGAACCGCCCGGCGCTGTGCATCTTCCGCGCGGCCTGCGACTTCGTGCGGAGGCACTGCCGGGCCCCCTGCGTCCTCTGGGAGTCGGCGAGACAGGAGCTGCCCAATGCTATGCGTGTGCTGCCGTTGCTCGCGGTGCAATTCGACTTGCCTTGGTCTGGGCCGGTCACCTGCTCGGGCGCCGCCCTGAGGGGCCGCGCGGTGCAGGATGCCGACTTCCCGACGGCCGAGGTCCGGCAAGCGGGGCGCTGGAGTGAGCGTTGGCGCTTCAAGGTCGATGGGGGCCGGCCGGGCCCGGGATCGAGCTCTAGGCGGCGCGTCGCTGCTTGGCGGGCTCGAGGCGATCGCAGAAAAAGAAGAGCTCGGTCTGGATGCTCCTTCTCCCCGTCGAGGCTTGCGCGAATCGGACTTGGATAGCTCTCGCGACATCCGGATAAGTATCAATCATCAGCTTCCTGAGCTACAAGCAACCTTTAGTAAGCAGCGGCAGCTGGAGAACGACACAGGCTAGGATGTATTACAAGAAGGAGGCGATACACATGAAGGAGTTGAGGGCAGTACTTATTGGGTGGAGACGCGAATGCAAGCAAGCAAGACGTCAGCATAAACATCATTCCTCTGTGCCAACATGGGCATGGTCTTGAGTTTGGAGAAGGGTCGCACAGTCTCCCCGCGCTCATGTTGCTAAGGAAGTGGGCCGCGCTTTCTCAGGCCACGTTCTCTCGTGCAAGTGTTCGCTGGGTGGCTAGCGAGCTGAATCCCAGTGATGAGCCCAGCCGATGGTTCGACTCGCCTGCTGAGAAGGCGGCAGCAGCTGCGCTGGGGGCCCTCCAGGGCCGCGCCGACGGGGAGGGGCCTCAGGCGCGCAGCAGCGCCCCCCGAGAGGGTTGGCGCAGGCGCGCCGGGGCGCCCGCGGCCGGCGGAGAGCCGCCTCCTGAGAAGCAGCTGGCGCGGTAAGGCCCGTTGCTCTGGGTCGGCATCGGCCGCGAGCAGAGTGGGTCTGGCCCAGGCTACCTGGACAAGGCGGCAGCGCAGTTCATCAACGACATCGCGCCGACCCCCTGCGCGGCCGAGAGGCCCCCAGCCGCCGCCAACGGCAGGCGAGAGGGAGCAGGTGCGAGCACGAGCCCCGCGCACTGGCGGTCAGACTGTCCTGGAGCTGGAGAGCGTGGCGGCCGAGACGCAGGAGGGCTACGAGAGGAAGCTGGCGCGACTCAGCGACTTACTTCTGCAGGGCCCACAACTTGAAGGGCGACACCGACGCGGGGCCGGAGGAGGCCCTGGTGGAGCACGTGGACCTGCTGCTCGCGGCGGAGGAGCCCAGCAGCAGCGTGGCCAAGCTGCCAGCGGCGACGGACCCCCGTGTGCCGCGCCTCCACCACGCCGAGCGGCTGGTGGAGCTGCCGCGGGTAGCCAAGGCGCGGCAGGGCTGGCGCCGCCTGGCGCCGCCGGTCACGCGGGCGGCCGTCGCGGCAATCGCGATGGCCCTGGTGCGGGGCAGGCAGCCGTGCGTGGCCTTGGCGGTGGTGCTGGCGTCGGACGCGTTCCTCAGGCTCGGCGAGCTGCTCTCGCGTCGGGCGAGCCACGTGCTGCCGAGCCAGCCGCAGTCAAGCGGCGTCGACCGCTTCGCGTCGCTAGTGCTGATGACGGGGGAGGGGCTGCAGCCGACGAAGGAGAGCCCCCGTATGATGAGACGCCTGGCGATGCTCCCTTGCGACCTCCAGCTGCTCCTGAACGAAAGGGCGCGGCAGCTGGCGGACGGGCCTCGGCGCGGGCTCGCGGCCGGCCCCGCAGGCATGCTCCGCGTCGTGGGTCTGATGTGAAGCCACTTTTCCTGGAGCTTTCTTCGGGCC